TACTCAGTCTGCACATATATGGGACAGTCTGCATTAGTTATTTTTACATATGAGTACTTCACTTTTGGGAAGTGGATAGAGAAGTTAAATTCTCTGTGTGAATATCAGACAGTAATTCTGCTTGTGCAAATGGTTGCAGATTTTGTATCTATGTCACCATTATATTATTTTATTTTGTCACCAAAATATATTTTGCTAAAAGGAAATTAATTCAGGGCAACAAATGTTATAAAAGTTAGATCTCATTAGTCAAGAAACAGAAGGCGCATTAGCAATGACCGAGCACAACAAATGATTTTCAAATATCTCATATCCAGTAACCCCTCTTGTGATCAGTTCATGCGGTAAACCATGAATTCACTATGTGCAAAACAAAGTTACATGAATAAAACATTGAATAGTTTTGCTTTTTTTAAAAAAAAAATAAGGTGTGTAGAGAAAATCTGAGCAGAGAATAGACTAAATATACCAGCAGCTGGAGTGGAGCTGTGGGCCTCAGAGTTTTGCATGCCCCAGTGATGTTAGTTGTGAAGAGTGAGGATCCAGGGCCACTTGCTGCATGCCCTCCATGTGTAAGCACAGTTAATGGTGGATTCATATTTAGTGTTAATACAGACACCAAATGATAAAAGATTACATTACTACTTGATGAAAAATATTTTTTATCTGCAGTGTTACTTGTAATTTATCTTTCTGATCTGTATCAAAAATGAGAATATTCAAGAAAATCTCTGAGATTTAGCCACAGTAGCAGACAGGGTTATATTTGCAGAGGAGTTGTCTGTTTTGTCTACTTTGAATTGAAATGAAAAGCTGTTGCAATAGAAACTCATCTAGTATGAAGAATTAGGAAACAAAGTACAATTACTTCACTTTTTGCTAGTAACGCTTTTAAAAGTAGCAATTATAGCATATTATCCTTTGAGGCTTGAAATGTCTACCTTCCAAAACATTGCATGACAGTTTAAGAAAACCACTTAAAGCAATTGACAATATACTTTTGCCCTCAAGTGCCATGTAATTGTTTTATTTTGCAATTTTATAAAATAAAAATTTGTAGCGTGTGTGGCAAGGTTCTGGTAGCAGGGGGCCTACAGGGGTGGCTTCTGTGAGAAGCTGCTAGAGGCTTCCCATATGTCTGATAGAGCAAATGCCACCCAGCTCGAAGACAGACCCACTGCTGGCCATCAGTGACGGTGGTAGCACCTCTGCAATAACACAGTTAAAAAGGGGGGAAAACTGTTGCACAACAGCAGCCAGGAGAGAGGACTGAGAATATGTGAGAGAAACAACCCTGCAGACACCCAGGTCAGTGAAGGAGGGGTATGAGGCGCTCCAGGCGCCAGAGCAGAGGTTCCCCTGCAGGCCGTGGTGCAGCCCATGGTGAGGCGGCTGTGCCCTGCAGCCCATGGAGGGTAACGGTGGAGCAGAGATCCACCTGCAGCCCGGGGAGGACCCCACGCTGGAGCAGGTGGATGCCTGAAGGAGCTGTGACCCCACGGGAAGCCCACGCTGGAGCAGGCTCCTGGCAGGACCTGTGGACCCACGGAGAGAGGAGCCCATGCTGGAGCAGGATTGCTGGCAGGACTTGTGACTGCATGGGGGACCCACGCTGGAGCAGTTTGTGAAGGACTGCAGTTGGAGCAGTTCATGGAGGACTGTCTCCCATGGGAGGGACCCCACACTGGAGCAGGGTAAGAGTGTAAGGAGTCCTCCCCCTGAGGAGGAAGGAGCAGCAGAGGCGTGTGATGAACTGACTGCAACCCCCATTCCCCAACCCCCTGCGCTGCTTGTGGGGGCAGGAGGTAGAGAAAATGGGGAGTGAAGTTGAGCCTAGAACAGGCTGGGACATTTTCATACTAAAATTATTAATTTATTTAATAACAAGCGTGTTTGTTAGAGGTGCTTTTCCCAAACAGGCTGTAAAAGCTCTGTGGTAGGCACTCAGGATTTCTTGCCTGCTGAAAGAATACAAGTTTATATGACGTCATTCCTCAAAAAGACAATATGCTGCTGAACCAAAACTAAAATAGTTGAAACAGCAGGTGCTACAGTTATTCCAAATGAAAAGTTCACCATGACCTAGCAGTAGAAGAGGAACCCAAACAAGTACCCTCTCCTGTTAATCTTTGCCCTAACCTCAAGTGTAGAACATCTCAGGTACATACTTTGTTTTACATAACTAAGAATGCATCACTAAATAAATTTATCTTGAGACTTTTAATAATTTACTTTCTGAGTGCATCTCATGAAGTTCACATATGCATCTAGCCTATTCTAATACAACCTGACTATTACAGTCCTCAAGACCTCATTTGGGATAAAGAAATCGCTGGTACAAAAGCCTTGGTCAACCTCAAGCTATAGCAAGGATTACTAACAGAAGAAAGGTATTCAAGCAAGTCACTGCAAACCATATTTTATTTGTAGAGGATTTTTGGGAAAGATGTAGGCAGTCTGAATAAAAGTGTCTGTTAAAAACTGCTACAGATACTATACCAAATACCAAGCATACATGTTTTCTCCTTCTGGAATGGGCATAATAGAGTTCATTTCCACATTATGTACTTTCAAGAAAAATTTTTCAGTATCAGTTATTTTCACACATAAAAATTCTGTCAAAGCTCCTGAAAGGAGAAAGGAGAGCAAGTAAAATATGACAAATAAAAGGGATATTGCTTGAATAAAAGGCAGTTCTAGCATTTGACCAAGTTATCACATAGTTTTTCACCGATGTATCTTGGTATTGAAATGCAAGAATCATAGAATCATTAGGTTGGAAAAGACCTTTAAGATCACTGAGTCCAACTGTTAACCTAACACTGCCAAGTTCACCACTAAACCATGTCCCTAAGTGCCACATCTACACATCTTTTAAACACTTCCAGGGATGGTGCCTCAACCACTTCCCTGGACAGCCTGTTCCAGTGCTTGACAACCCTTTTGGTGAAGAAATTTTTCCTAATATCCAATCTAAACCTCCCCTGGCGAAACCTGAGGCCACTTCCTCTTGTCCTATTGCTTCTTACTTGGGAGAAGAAACCAACATCTCTGTCACTACAACCTCCTTTCAGGTAGTTGTTGAGAGTGATAAGGTCTCCCCTGAGCCTCCTTTTCTGCAGGCTAAACAACCCCAGCTCCCTCAGCCGCTCCTCATAAGACTGCCTAAAATTCTGTACTTTACTTAAAGTTCCAGCTGAATTATGAGACATATAAACACACAAAGAACAAAATCTTCTCTATTTTTTTTTTATAATCCAATTAACTAGAATTTCTAAATGCACTGACATTCACATCCCATAGACCTCGGCTTTTCCTTTTCTGTAACATAAAGAACATGGATAAGCTGTCAGGGCATCATGTTTCAGATCCCCACCCTGCTATACATAAACCATAAATTAACATTATGTGAGCAGATCAGCTGAACTTTTAGTCAGGATAAATATTTAGCAGCATAGCACTAGGGCAAAACTGAGGGATCAGTACAAGTTTTCTGTAAACTATGATAAAGACTCAGAGAGCTCCACTCTTGAATATAAGGAGACATACTGAACACTAAGCAGTTTCTCTCACTGTTTACTATTAAAAGAATCTTCACCTTTTCATAAAGGCCAAAAAAAAAAAAGAAAAAAAGGTGGTGAATTAGAGACTGAAGTGCTGCAGCCAGATTTTTTTTACCGGTTGGTTGTCCCCTTAGTGATTTTTGAACATATATTCCTAAAGATATAAGATATTAGTTCACCATAAACTATGGAAGTATTTAAACACCTAGAGTAGATGGTGGTCTTTGAATCCTGTATATTGCCCCCTAAAACAGATTTTGATAGCTGGATGACTTAGATACCAAGACTTAAAAAAACTGACACAGGGAAGTGATAGGGTTTAGAAATATCTCAGTATATAAGACTTAAGTTTCTAAAATTCTCTTCAGAATATGCCTTAAGTGATCTTATTGAACTTTTATTGTCCAGTAACTCCACTTTAGCATTTAGGAGTAAATCATCCTCCCCACAATTTTCTCCCCAGGAAACTTCATGACTGAACGTTCATCAAAAAAGCTAGAATCAAATGTCAAATTATAGTGTGTTAACAAAAACGACAAGGAAAGCCTCAAACTCCCTGTAAAACACTAAGGAAAGATGTAAATGCTAAATAAATTATTAAACAGCTGAGAATCAATTAATGCACTATCGTCAAAGGAATGGCTATTCCTATGTTCTCCCAAAGCTGAACTTTTTGGATATCGGCTGAGAGCAGTCTTGATCATCCCTGTCAACATTATGAGGAGCAACTAGCAGTCTAAGGGTTTGGCTGTAGGTAAATTATCACCACTGCAGGACTGCCAGTTTCTCTTCCCTCCTTTCTTTGACTATTTCAGTCAATAATGATAGAATTTTTTGTCACACTTATTTACACCACTAAATATATCCTTAATGATAGCCAAGACTTCAGTGCAGTAAGCACTGTATAAATGTGGCAGGAAGGAGATGATGAAGAAACAACTGTCAAGCAGAAGCTTGGGTCATGAAGTCCTTTTTCACTGCCCATTTCCTGAATGTACTTTTTTTAAACTATTAGCTAAAATTTTAAAGGTAAAGTTCATCACATATGTTATTTTGATTACTACAGCAGTGTAACTCAACAGCAAAGACAGAATTTTGAGCTTTGGACAAAGCTTACTGCAATACCATACTGGAGAACTCAGCACCTGGCAAAATTAGATTACCAATTTGTTTTGAAGAACATAACCCAACATATACAGTGTAAACAAATCAGAAGACACTTGGCAAAAGTTTGATTTCCATTGATTTCCAAAGTATATTAGCAACAGAGTTTAGGGTTTTGTGGGAAGCTTTTTGGTGTTTTGTTTGTTTCTTTGGGGTTTTTCTAAATTACTATTATTATTTGGCTGTTGATTTGGGGGGGGGTGTTTAGGGGGTTTTGGGTTTCTTTAAGTTTTCTGTAGAATTTGTTAGATTTTTTTTTTTTCAGCACAAGCATGCAAAAGACACAGATGTGCCAGTCAGTATGCTTAGCATACCATCATGTTTTTGAAACCTTTCTGGAGTCCTTCAGGAGAAAAATGTAGGGGTATGAGAACTGAGATTAATAAAACAAGCTGCACTAAAAGATTCTAGGTTTTTTGAATATAAAATCATCTAGATCATTATCAACGAGAAGGAAGACACTTTTTTAAAACAGCATAGTAAGAGAATTTTGTAAAAATCTTACATTTTTTTTATAAAGTAAGTTAAGAAAACAATACATAATTGTTAACAGTACTAGACTGGCCTAAGTATCGCAAATAAAAAATGCCTCCCAAAAGTGTTGAGTGAGAAAATGCACACTGAATATTGAGATAGTTATTAAATTTGAGAGGTGGATGACAACTTTAACCTATTATTTGGGAAAGGTAGCACTACAACTATCTATGTAAATAGCATTAAGTATTATCTATAAAGTGTCCACACCTGTGTAAGAGTGCAAAGAGGAGGAAGAACACTGTCTCTCACCTAACAGCAACAATGTTCATCTAATGTCCTTGGTCTGCACCATCAGTGCTCCTGGAAATAGAGGTGGGGCAAAGGATTAGGAAGGCAGCAAAAAAATCAACCCCATTTGTGTATGCTGGCAAATAACAGGCAGAACACACCAATGGGCTCATGGCACAATCTTCAGGACAGCGTAGCTAAATCAAGTGGAAGCAGCAGAAGCCTGCACAGGTAGAAGAGGAAGCACCAGAAGTCCTGTCCAGTACTTTCCATGATGTGAATTTAGACACATTGCCTAATGTATTTATGATGGTCCTCCACTGTTGGAAAAGCATTTCTGTTCCTATCCACCATGTCTATCACATTCTGTATTTTCATTAAGAGGAAAAGCAGTAACTAACAGCAGCACTGATGCAAAGGCTTTGTCACAGTGATGATCACGGTATGTTAACCTGCCAACACCTAGAAGTGTTATATGTTACAAGAAGCATCCATTTCAAAAACAGTGGTAAAAGCACAACTCAGTACACAAAAGGGATCAGAGTTTTTCTGTTCTTTGGGTAGTCTTCAAATTTCTCAAGGTACCATCTGAAAAACATAGACAAAAATCTGATGAGTACTGAGTCCTCAAAATGCTGTCAAGGACATTAAGTAATTGTTCAAAGTGTTCAATTTAATCCATATATTTCCTGGCTACAAACCAAAAAAATGCCTTTAGAACCCGCTCTGGAAAGAAAAGTGCCATTTACCACACTCATCATAATGACATCTAATTACCAACTACAACAAAACAAAGCTAACTGCTTCCAGCAATGGGAAACCAAACCAACAGATGTGGCAAGAGCAGCCAGGGAAGGAAGAGCCTGTTGTTGTGCAATTATGTTGTTATGCATCTTGAGTGTTTGCATTTTAGAAACAAGAGAGGAAAAAAAAAATCAAAAGCATTCAAGGGGATAACATATCAAATTGTATAATGACTTCACAAGGAAGCAAGGGATAATTCACATAGTGGAATGACAGTCCTGTTCTGGATAGAAACATCTTCAGTTCCAGCCAGGACTTGAATAATCAAACTAAATGTGACAGACATTGCACTAGCCTTACTGTTAATCCACCTCAAAGACCATGCCTATTTTCAAATCCAGACAGTTTCAAAAGAATAAATCCATAGCACTACCAAATGTTGTTATTTGTCTGGTTACCTTATGTAACACACACATTTACTCCCATTTTCAAATATTTATTCTTCTCCTTCTCTAAAATAAAATTTTAAAAAAGAATTAACTTCATCTGGGCTCCTTAAAGGTGCAGGTATCCATATTATCAATAGCTAAGTGCAAGATCAAAGCTGAAATAAGCAGAGAACAACAATAAGCAGATAACCTGCAGCTATGGAATACAAGCATTACACTATTTACCCCTTTCAGTCATTCTAAGTTTTTCAAACTAAACAGACTACACCAAAATATTTCTTCACTTAAATAGATTTTTTTTTTCTGTACCCCTCTTCCATTTTTATGCATTTTTCCTTTAGTGCAAATGATTTCCTTTAATAATGTTTAGCTTTACATAATGCTTTGTAAGTCAAGAGCTCTGACAGAATGCTGTCAAGGCTTAAGATAGACAGAAACTAACCATGAAATTTGAGCCTGAAGAATGTAATATAAAGGAGAGATTGAGGAACCTTTCCTTGCTTAATCTGGTGAGGGAGACAAAGGGGCCCTCTTATTGCTGTCTACAGGTACTAGAAGGGGAGTTATTTAAGACAATGGAGCAAAATTATGAATGAAATGCAAACTCCTGCAGCTGAAATGCAACAGCTCCATGCAAAAGTGCAGGCCAGAGTCTGAGTGTCTAGATAGCAGCTCTGCACATAAGTACTCTATGGGTCCTGAGAGAACTGGTGGATGAAGTTGCTAAGCCACTATCCACCATATTTGAGAAGTCATGGCAGTCCAGCAACATTCTCGCTGACTAGAAAAGGGGTAACACAACCCCCATTTTAAAAAGGGAAATAAAGAGGACCCAAAGAACTTAAGTCAGTCAGTCTTATCTCTGTGCCTGGCAAGATCATGGAGCAGACCCTCCTGGAAACTGTGCTAGGGCACATGGAAAATAAGGAGGTGACTGGTGACAACCAACATAGCTTCACCGAGGGCAAATAATGCCTGACAACTGGGTGGCCTTCTACAACAGGGTTACAGCATCAGTGGATAAGAGAAGAGAAATTGACATCATCTACTGGAACTTGTGCAAGGCATCTGACACTGTTTCACATAATATCCTTGTCTCTAAATTGGAGAGATGTGGATTTGATGGATGGACCACTCAGTGGGTAAGGAATTGGCTGGACGGTCACACTCAAAGAGTTGCGGTCAATGACTCAATGTCTAAGTAGGGAGCAGTGACAAGTGGTGTTCCTCAGGGGTTGGTGTTGGGACCAGTATGTTTAACATCTTTGTTGGTGACATGGACAATGGGATTGAGTGCACCCTCAGTAAGTTGGCCAATGACACCAAACTGTGTGGTGCGATCAGTGTGCTGGAGGGAAGGAATGTGCCATCCAGAGGGACCTGGACAGATTTGAGAGGTGGGCCCATACAAACCTCATGAAGTTCCACAAGACCAAGTGCAAGGTCCTGCACATGGGTCAATCCCAAGCACAAATACAGGATGGTCAATGAGTGGATTGAGAGCAGCCTTGAGAAGGACTTGGGAGTATTAGTGGAGAAAAAACTGACTATGAGCTGACAATGTGCACTCACATCCCAGAAAGCCAGCTGTGTCCTGGGCTGCACCAAATGAAGTGTGGCCAGCAGGTCAAGGGAGGTGATTCTCCCCCTCTACTCTGCTTTTGTGAGATCCCACCTGATGTACTGTGTCCAGCTCTGGGGCCCCCAAGATAAGCAGCACATGGACTTGTTCAAATGGGTCCAGAGGAGGCCACAAAGATGATCAGGGGGCTGGAGCACCTTTCTTATGAGGGCAGGCTGAGAGAGTTGGCATTGTTCAAGCCTAGAGAAGGCCCCCTATAGTGGCATTCCAGTACTTAAAGGGGGCCTATAGGAAAGATGGAAAGGTAGATTTAAATTAAATCTAAGGAAGAAATTCTTTCCTGTGAGGGTGGTGAAACAGTGGAACAGGTTGCCCAGAGAATCTGTTGCTGCCCCCTCTCTGGAAGTGTTCAAAGCCAGGCTGGACGGGGCTTTGAGCAACCTGGTCTAGTGGAAGGTGTCCCTGCCCGTGACAGAGGAATTGGAACTAGATGATCTTTAAGGTCCCTTCCAACCCAAACCATTCTATGATTCCATGACATGGACATCCTGGTGGACAAGTTGAACATGTCAGTAATGGATCCCAGCAATCATGAAGGCTAACGGCATATTTGCCTGCTTTAACAAGTATAGAGCCACCATGTCAAGGGAGGTGCTTATTATTCTCCACTGTTCAGCAGCTGAGAGCCTGCATCTGCATTACTGCCTCCAGTATTTGGCTTCTGGTGCAATAGAGATGTCCACCAACTGGTGAGTAATCCAGCAGATGGTCATTAAGATGACTGCAGACCTGGAACATGTAAGAGAGGTTGAGGGAACTAGCCTTGTTTAACCTGGAAGAGAAGTTAAGGGGCAGATCTAATTGCAGTCTTCCACTACCTACAGCAATATTAGAGGGAAGGCAGAGCCGTACCCTTTCCTAGAGGTGCGCAGCAAGTGGACAAGTGGCAGGGGATAGAAGTTGCAACATGGAAAATTCCAACTGGACATAAGGAAAAAAACCTATCCCATAAGAATAAGAAAAATTCTGTTCCAGTGCTTTGCCAGAGATATGCTGAAGTCTCCACCCTTGGAGACACTCAGAACTCAACTGGATGAGGCCCTGGGCAACCAGCTATAGCCTTGTGGTTAGCCCTGGTTGGAGCAGGTCACACCAGATGACTGGACAGAACAACCTTCAGATGCTCCTTCTCAAACTAAGATATTCTGCAACTCTGCTTACTAATAGCAGGTGGTAAAATAATGAGAGATGGTCACAGGCAACAGGCTTGGAAGGTTCAGGTTGGATAGTAGGAAAAACTTGTTCACTGTGAGGGTAATACACACATGGAACAGCCCACAAACAAGGTGCAGGAAAACCTCCATTCCTGGAGGTTTTCAAGACTCCACATAGCCATGGCTGCCTTGACAGGCTGTTAGCAATGGCATTTTTTTCAGTCTATTTTCTCCATAAGTTTATGTTTATTTCCTCTTATGACACAAAGTTTCAGCATAAGAACAAAAGCAGGAAACCAAAAATAACCAAAATAAGATGAAGGTGTTCAAATTATTTTAAACATGCTATTCTTTAAAGGGAATCATTTCAAGAAACAATTCTTCTCAAACTACGATCCTTCTGTTAGCAGGAAAGCCACATTATGAATACAGTACACTAGTAGTCAGATTCTTTAATTACAGAGCCAAGACTTTATTAAATATCATCTACCAGAACTCTTCATATTGTCTATACACTTGATTATAGACAATATGATATAGACTTGGCTCTAAAGTGTGCTTGTTACAGAAAACTTTAGAGTGATTTCCAAAATTTTAACATTATAGAAACAAGTTTGAGTCACAAAGGATAGTATATGATCAATTATGGCAATTTTCCTAAACTCATCTATAATCTTTAGAGATCTAGGATTAACTATGTTCATTTAAACATTATTTTGACCTCCTCATTGTACATTGCGTGTGTTTATGATCAGTACTATCCCACTGAAATTCTGCAGTGCTTAATGCTACTCAGATTGGTCTCTATCATTTTCTCCACTGCAGTAGCAGAGTCTTTTACAAGACTTGCTCTGCAACATCCTTATGGGATGAGACATAATTTTTGAAATGAAAATGTGGCATAGAGACAACAGAAATTATAAGACACAAACACTTACTGGTGGTGTTGCTTTGCCCTTGAACCCAAGATGAAGAGCGTACACAACGCAAATGCAAGGCTTTCAGTGGTGCAGCAGGCAAGGGCAAAACCAAACCATTCCAAGATCTCTCCAAAAAAGTTGGCTCCACTGACATACTCAAACATTCCTCCTAAAAGCAGGACAGAGTTATTTTAAAAGCACCTTAATCAAGATCACCAATGTTATCTTCTACTTTAAGTCAAGTAAGAGCTATATCATTAATGTCTCTATATAGTTTTTAAAGGCAATGGAGGCAGTGTTTTTCAGTTCAAGTTGTACTATGAAGGATCCTTCAGACCTCATGCTAAGACAGACCTTCTCCACCTCCATTTTTCCTCTTTAACTCATGAAAGAAAAGCAGATTTACCAGTACCAGAAGTGAGTTCATGCCTCTGTAAATAATTACTTAACAATGATATCAAACTGGCTCTTTGATCATAAATTAAACCTTTTTTAAAATATATAAAAACAGAAAATATGCTCCCCTTCAAGAGTCTCAGAAAATACTCATAGGGTTAGTCAGCATACAATGTTTAATTTCTTTAAGTATTTAGAAATTAACTTAATTATGAATATTATTATTATGAATTAAAGTTCCATATTTATACTCTAGCTTAAAATGTGTTGCCCTTTTGTTCTCAATTCCCTCTCAGGTCAAGTGCTTCAGCCTTGACACTCAGTTGAAGAAGTAATTGGCCATCTGCATTAAATGTGTTTTACGGCCAATTATGCATAAACAATCAGTACTCACCTGCTGGGAATTTTATAAAATAAGAGCTTTCACCCTAATTCCAAAGTTAGTGTACAATTTGATAACATCTCAGTATGTGCTTTACCAGTGGGACTAAACAAACAAGTATCTGCCAAGTGTAATAAAGGACATGTTTTGACCTTGCTTTAATTTAATGACTTCGGTTTTGTGACAAAAGAGAAGCAGAATTCTAGCACTTAAACTGGATAAGCAATATCAAACAGAGCAACTCCTCCTGATCATGCAGCAAATAACATCTTATTTTCTTCGGAACTTTTTTGTACACTGAGTATAGTACAGTATGTTCATATTCATTTTTTACATGGACACTTGGATTTACATTTATTAAAATTTTACAGTTACCTTCCTGGTGAAAAATAACAGTCTACTACCTTGTATACCTAGTTCTCTGTTTAATTTTTTAAAATCTCACTAAAACCCAAGATAGAAACAACTAAAGGAAAAACTTAGAGAAACAGCAGAATTCAGAGGCAACTATTATTCGTCTACTCTCACTGAGTGTAAAATACCCAGAAGAGTTTCCAAAAGTGTCAATAAACGTTAACACTTCAATAGGCTCCGTAAAAAGTCCTTTTTTATTCTCCATTTTCCCATGAAAGCCAGCATTTATAATGCCTAACTTCCTTTGGATTTCTGTCCTCTTTTCCCTGTGTCTCCCCTACTGCAGTAGTTATTGCTCTCCAGTTACCTAAGATCTCTCCCTCTTCATATGTGGGACAACATAAGATGGGCCAGTCACAGTTGCTGAGTACTTTCTGCCCTCCCCTCCTGCCCCCACACTGGGATTATAATTTAAGTGGTCTTTCTCATAAAAGTTGTAGAATGCTATGTCACATTTTTACCACTTTTTAAAGTGGTACAGCCAAAGTTGGTTAAGAAATTCAAAGACTTGCACAAGCCACGCAATATCATGAAACAGATCCCTTGGAATATTTGGCTTAAGATGAAAAAAACTAGAATGTTTCCCACACTATGAAATCACTTCCCAAGATAGAAAACAAACTTCCATTTCCAGTTTCCTCTTGTATCATGAATTATTATAAAATACACCAAGCTTTAGAAGGTCATCTTTGCAGAATCATTTTAGGGTGGAAGGACCTCTTGAGATCATCTAGTCCAACCCCTTCTGGCTTAAGCAGGTTGCCCAGGACCATATCCAGTCCAGTTTTGAGTACCTCTAGAAATGGACACTCCACAACCTCTCTGAGCAACCTGTTCCAGTATTTGATCACCCTCACAGGAAAAAATGTGTTTAGATGTAATTTCATGTGTTTGAATTTTGTGCCCAGTGCCTCTGGTCCTGTCACTGGGCACAACTGAGAAGAGCCTGGCTCCCTCTTCTTCATTCCCTCCCATCACGTACCGATAAGATCTCCCTAATCATTCCCCGCTCCAGGCTGAACAGTCCCAGCTCTCCACTTCTCACACAAGATGCTTCTTTTGTTATATAAATTTCTGTAACATTTTTACTCACCTCTCGGTATCTTGTAACCAGTTTCCCCTGGTCTTCTCAGATTTCTGAGAATGTGATCAGAATGAATATTGACTGCCATGCCAGTCAACCATCCTATAAAACCTGAAGAGAAATAGTTAAAATATATCTTTAATATACCAAGCCAAAGTGCTTGTTCAGAAAAGAAACTGCAGTCATATATCACATTATCTCAAAGCAGTAGCAACGTAAGCAGTATAAACAATTCTGGTGACATCCTGCACAATCCCAGTTCCACACTGAGCTCTTCAGTCAGCATTGCTCACAGCAATCAACAGGTCTCTAGACAGGAACAGTACTATAAAATTTATTCTTATGTTGCTAGACTTACATAAATGTATGCATGCACATACATAAAGATGTAATGTGTGTATTTCCCTCAATTCCACACAGAAAACCAAACACACTAAAATTTTAAGCACTGTTCAACAGCCATTCTCATTCCTGCCAGAGGGACACATCTTAGTCCTCCTCTTTTTTTTTTTTTTTTTTTTTTTTTAAACTGACAGTGTATCAGAGTTTCCACAGCAGACTTCTGTGCAGTAAAAGTGTTCTGGGTTTGTGTGGTGGAGGTTTTTGGTAGCAGGGAAGGGGGGTACTTCAGAGGGCCCCTTTGAGAAGATTCTTGAGAGTTCCCCCAGCTCCAAGTCGGACCCACCTCTGGCCAAGGCCGAGCCAATTAGAAACAGTGGCTGTGCCTCTGCGATAATGTATTTAAGACGGAGAACCTGGGAATGGGTTGGGACTTTGAGGACAAGTTACAAGAAGGACACCTTATGAGAACACCGAGGTCAGTGGAAGGAAAGTGGAGGAAGCGGGGGAGGTGCAGCAAAGCAGAGCCCCCCTGTATCCTGTGGTGACATCAGGGCCGCCCCTGCCACCCATGGAGGTCACCAGAGGAGCAGATTCACCTGTGGCCTGTGGAGGACCCCCAGGACTCTGTGGGAAGCAGCAGCCCCCACTGTTGTAGTTTGGTGCTGGGAGGACTGCAACACATGGAGGTGACCCACGGCAGAGCATCTTGAGAAGTATCCATCCATGGGGAGGACTCATGGCAGAGTTTGTGGAGGACTGCCTGCCGTGAGAGGAATGCCAGGTAGAGCAGGGGGAGGAATGCAGAAGATGCTTCCCCCCACCTTGGAGGGAGAAGCAGTGGAGTGACTGCACACCCCATCCCTTGCCCTGTGGCGGAAAGTAGGTAGAGATACCGGGAAAAAAACTGAGCATGGGGAAGAAGGGAAGGGCGGGGGGAGGTGTTTTTAAGATATGATAACGCTTCTCACTGTCCCATTCTGTCTCTTAAGTGTCATTATCATTAGTGTTTTGAATGTAAGTGATATCCTTTTTTATTCTTCCCCTAATAAGCCTGCCTTTTACCTGTGACAGTTAATGGGTGAGCAACCCCCTCCCTATCCTTATCTCCATTCCTCAGCCTTCTGTTTCATTTTTCCTCCTTCCCAGCGCTGGTGGAGAAAGGGGTGAGTGAACGATTACATGGTGTTCAGTTGCCCTCTGGGCTCAAGCCATGACAAAAAGGAATAATAAAATTGTGAAGGAATTCATACATCATTTACTTGTGTCATTCAGCAAAATGGTTTAACCATTTATATGAAGCTTTCATACCAACAGAGATTAATGCCACATTCTGCATCCTTATGTCTTGTTGCCATAACTGCATGGGATAAATCAAAAGGCATTTAGGACAAAATTCAGCATTTTCACCCTTCCATGTTGTCTTTGGCTACATTTTATAAATGTTACTTTCTTTTGAAGGCAGCATTCTTTGTACCTAGGAGCAGACAAGGTTCAGTTTTGAGGGTAGATTCATTGTATTGTTTTGAATACACCTCCAAAAGTTACTGATATTTTTTTTTTTTAATTTCCAAGAAAACGCCAGTGATATGCTTCTAGAATTAAGTCACTTCACACACCAGATAAAGAAAGCTTTGCCTTTTTGCACCCATAACTTGAGTCCTTCAGATGGCTCTCTTTCAATACAGAGAAACACAGTAGTATGACCATCTCAGCAAAGAAACTAAATGGATATCAAGATGAATAAGGCCATGTTGCAAGACTAGTAGGTTGTCAGAGCATACTTTACCAAGACTTAGGCTACGTTTCAAAGCGAAGCTACAATGTAAATGGACCTTGCTGTAAGCAGACCTTGCCTCTCAAACAAGCTGTTAGATAGGCAGCTTTCTTCTCTCAATCCCTTGTAGGCTGCATTTACCTAAAGGACCTAGCTGTCTGCTTCCACATGGACTAGGAGGAAATGACTGCTCTGCAGAGAAATTGAGGTTTCTGTGCAAAAGCTCTCTCCTTATTTACCTACATAAACAATGTTGTTTGATTAGCTTGTTACAATCTTCTTGCATTACAAAACTAGTAGCAGAATTTAGTCTTGTGAACAAGCATGTTTCTTTATCTTTTGTTCATACAGCACAGTGCAGCAAATGTCCATTAGCAATCAAGGTATGTATATGCTGTTTGGAAATTAATTTCCATTTTGTAATGCGATTTTCATTGTATATGTTTCAGGAATAGTACCTTCTTGACTGGTGTACTGTTATATATTTTTGAAAAGCTCATGTTATGAACTTTCACGCTGTATAATTGAATTATAATATAAACTGTGTTTCTGACAAATTTTGGAGGTTTGAAGTTCAGATGTCAAAACAGCAATTTCGACAGATCTGCTTCTACGAGTTCAAACCTGGAGGTAATGCAGCGCAAGCTGCTCGAAACATCAATGAGGTATATGGCCAGGGAAGTGTTAACGAACAGACAGTGTGACTTTGGTTCCAAAAATTTCGACATGGTGATTTCAACCCTGAAGATCAAGAAGGTCGCGGACGTCCTTCTGCTATTGACAACAATGAATTGAAGGCTCTGGTGGAAGCAGATACACACACAACTGTTCGAGAACTTGCAAAAGAACTCAGAGTAAGCATATCAACTGTTTCTGAGCATCTGAAGAATGGAAAGTCAAAGCAGCTTGACAAATGAGTGCCACACGAACTGAATGAGAATCACAGAAATTGCTGTTTTGAAGTGTCATCGGTGCTTCTTTTTTGCAACCAGAACGACCTGTTTCTCAACTGTATTGTGACGTGTGACGAGGAATGGATGCTCTACAATAACCGGCGACAATCGGCTCAGCGGTTGGACCGCGATGAAGCTCTGCAGCACTTCCCAAAGCTGAACCTGCACCAAAAAGTCATGCTGACTGTCTGGTGGTCTGCTGCTGGTTTAATCCATCACAGCTTCCTGAATCTGAGTGAAACAATCACGGCAGAGAAGTACGTCCAGCAAATCAATGAAATGCACCAGAAACTTCAACGGCTGCGCCCAGCACTGGTCAACAGAAAGGGTCCAATCCTTCTCCACGATAACGCGCAGTGACATGTTACACTTTTGACGCTGCAACAGTTGAACAAGCCGGGCTACAAAACTCTGCCTCATCCACCATATTCACCAGACTTCTCGCCCACCAACTATCACTTCTTCAAGCATCTCGAGAGCTTCCTGTGCAGGAGATGCTTCAGAAACCAAGAGGAGGCTGAAACTGCCTTCGATGACTTCATCGCCTCCAGAAGTCCAGAATTTTATGCAACCAGAATAAATATGCTTGTTTCGCATTGGCAAAAAATGTGTTAATTCTAATGGTTTTTATTTTGATTAATAAATTTTATTCTGAGATGAGATATGCCACTTCAAACATACATGTTGAAATTGGCAATTAATTTCCAAACAGTCCATAGATGTCATATGTTAAATATCTTTTGTAGTAAAATTTTACCATAATCCTTTCAACTACATATTCAATGTAATTACATCATCATGAGATAGATTAGATCAATGTAATGAGGAATTTACATAACAAATCATATAATGACATCATTCAAATACACAGGATATAATTCAATATTATAATTCAAGGAGGAATAATTCAAATGCTGTTGAATTCTGCTTCTAGGAAACCAGGTAATTTTAACTTTTTTCCTTCAAAACAGATCTCTATCCAATCTCTATCAGAGAATACTGAATCCACACTGCATCCAGCAACAAGAAGTTTGTTTCTCTTGCCATTAGTAATTAATTATGTATCCCTTTGCTAGTTGCCAGAAAAGATTGAGTCTACCTTGGCAAACAAGGCATGTTATTCCTATAACTAAGTCAGTCATTTTCTCTATCCATACAATAATTTGAAAGGAAATTTCTTAACAAGTACACAGATTCATTCTACTTAATATTTATACTAATTTACTTCAGTTTCAGCATGAGGAAAAACCTATATTGAAAGTTAGAAGTTTAGTATTCTTTCCAGAAATTATACTTTCTCAAGGGAGGACATTAGAGACCCTTTGGTTTCTCTGAAATGCCACTGTACTTTTGGAGAATGTTACCTGTGTTTTCTGTATTGGTATCTGTTTGTAGATACCAATAATCAGATTATGCAAAAAGACTGGCGCTTGCATTGAGTGAACGATTACTATAGGTCAGTTTGATTCTGTGCATTTTAATCCCTCCTACTTGAAAACCACCAAATGTAAGACGGAAAAAATTAAATCTCTCTGCATGGACAACAAGCCAATGAATGTAGGCTATTTTCACAGCACCCTGCCTCAATCTGAAGATCCACCTTCCCCAGAAGTACTGCATAACCACATTCCCTGTGCCCATACTCTGGGCACTGTACTTCACTGTCCTCATCCTTAGATCCTCACCATTGCCAAATCCTAGGACTGCACTCTACAGAGCCAAGAGCTGATTATATACCATGATCAGGTATATAATGGCATTTGCCACGTAGACAAGAAGGGAGCCACAGTGTACTCCAGCATATTCTCAGAACCACAGGATACACCACACAACATGAGGACCTCACGAGACTATTAAACTCAAGAGGCTTTTGCCCTTCATCAGGATAAATCTGGAGATTAAGGCCTGGGTTCCTAATAGGAGAACACTTGCACAAGAACAACAGTAACTAGGTCTATGTTATCAAATATCCAGTGCAACAGAAGAGCGTGTGTGTGTGTTGTTGCACCAGTGCCCTCTTCACCCTCATCCATACAGAATCT